GTAGCAGCAGGGGTCAATGCAAACAGTCCAGGTAGCCATTTGATTAGCTATTCAGCAGTTTTATGGCTTGAGGGTAGAAGCTGTTAAGAAGCCTTTTGGACCTAGACTTGGCGCTCCGGTACCGCTTGCCGTGCGGTAGCAGAGAAAACAGTCTATGACTAGGGTGGTTGGAGTCTTTGGCAATTTTTAGGGCCTTCCTCTGACACCGCCTGGTATAGAGGTCCTGGATGGCAGGAAGCTTGGCCCCAGTGATGTACTGGGCTGTACGCACTACCCTCTGTAGCGCCTTGGGGTCGGAGGCCGAGCAGTTGCCATACCAGGCGGTGATGCAACCACTCAGGATGCTCTCTGGTGCAGCTGTATAACTTTTTGAGGATCCAAGGACCCATTAGACTACTAGACGATAAGCACCAAGGAAAGTCATGGAGCATCTCATTTTCTTGGACTTTGAAAAATGTCTCTGTAAGTAAGTGCAATGCTGTAGTTTCCACTTCTTCCATCACTGGAAACAATGTTAAGATCATTTATACTTTTCATCAATAACTTAGATTTGAATATTCAGTCGTTACTCGTCATCCGATTTCTATCCACCAGCACATTACTTGACAGTGCAGGAAGAAGATACATACTGCAACATGCAATACAAGCCTACTTTCTTATGATATGCATTAACGTTGACACACAGAAAAAGTGATTGTGTGCATGGTAATGTGGGATATTGTGGGTGATGTAAACTGGATTGAAGAAATGTCAGCGACGGAGGAGGCAACATAATGAGGGGCTTACACTACCACCACACATGGATGTTAGCCTCCCATGGGGGAGTCCCGGGGGCCCTGAGCCCTGCTGGACCCTCTGCCTCTCCCCCTACTCCCCCTACTCTCTCTGCGGCCAGGTGGGGGAGAACAGATGGGAGCCCACTAACGAGCGGCTGATTGGCGGCTAGGCTGTTATGTACTGGATCCAGTCCTCATTATTAGCACCTATCCACGGGACGACTAAAAAAAGAAACCGTGGTGCAAATGTGTGGGGAAGCAGGGGAGTGACATCGTATCTACAAAAACACTCTGTGCCTAGAATCTATCTGTTCTCTATGACTGTGATGGAAAATATACTGAGTATCTGAGAAGCAGCGAGTGATCTTGAAGTAGTAGATCCTCTCTGTGTGATCATGCATGTATAAAATGTCATATTTCAAACTTCATACTTTATTTCAAACACATTACTTTGCAATACAATACTTAATACAGGCTTTTTGTAAATAATGTACTCTGTAATTGGTATCTCTGAAAGACCACATACATATTGAATTCTTACATTCTGTAGTGTTTCCTGATGTATTTTTCTCTGTGGTAATTCAATAATCAGTCAGTCATATATGTATAGGAATATACTTGGTGGTTATGATATCTCCCTTAAATAATGTGGTATTTTTCATGCTTTCTTTAGCTGCCGATCTCATGGAAAAGGAAAGTAGTCACTCCATAAAGTGTTTACAACACATATTGCTCATGCTTTGAGAATAGCAAAACTCATTGCTGTTTAAAAATAATAATGGACACAGATTGGGTGACAGAATGCTACCACATTCAGGAGCACAGACTAGGTGTGGAGGACAACCAGTACAAACATGCTGACGGAGGAGTATATGTCTCTTGGGAATGGATTCTAAACTGAATATCTAGTCTAATATCTAGACACAACCATGCAGAGAGATATCCATACTATAGATAATGTTGGAAAGGTACAAAAGAAAACAAGAAGAATGATCCTGTGTGGGCTGAAGTAGTGTGTGGAGATTTTGACATGCTCTCTCTGGGTCAAATCCTAACTTGAGATACATGGCTGTAGCTTGAGAGATTTGCGCAAAAGTCGGAGCACTAAGTCAGGATTCACCCCTGATTTCCTATTTGGTCAGAGCACAGTAACAGAGAACCTACAGTCGTGATCAAAAGTTTTGAGAATGTATTGGTCTTCACAAAGTTCTCTGCTTCAGTGTTATGAGATATTTTTGTCAGATGTTACTATGGTATACTGAAGTATAATTACAAGCATTCCATAAGTGTCAAAGGCTTTTATTGACAATTACATTAAGTTTATGCAAAGAGTCAATATTTGCAGTGTTGACCCTTCTTTTTCAAGACCTCTGCAATCCGCCCTGGCATGCTGTCAATTAACTTCTGGGCCACATCCTGACTGATGGCAGCCCATTCTTGCATAATCAATGCTTGGAGTTTGTCAGAATTTGTGGGTTTTTGTTTGTCCACCCGCCTCTTGAGGATCGGCCACAAGTTCTCAATGGGATTAAGGTCTGGGGAGTTTCCTGGCCATGGACCCAAAATGTCGATGTCTTGTTCCCAGAGCCACTTAGTTATCACTTTTGCCTTATGGCAAGGTGCTCCATCATGCTAGAAAAGGCATTTGTCGTAACCAAACTGTTCTTGGATGGTTGGGAGAAGTTGCTCTCGGAGGATGTGTTGGTACCATTCTTTATTCATGGCTGTGTTCTTATGCAAAATTGTGAGTGAGCCCACTCCCTTGGCTGAGAAGCAACCCCACACATGAATGGTCTCAGGATGCTTTACTGTTGGCATGACACAGGACTGATGGTAGTGCTCACCTTGTCTTCTCCGGACAAGGTGTTTTCCGGATGCCCCAAACAATCGGAAAGGGGATTCATCAGAGAAAATGACTTTACCCCAGTCCTCAGCAGTCCAATCCCTGTACCTTTTGCAGAATTTCAGTCTGTCCCTAATGTTTTTCCTGGAGAGAAGTGGCTTCTTTGCTGCCCTTCTTGACATCAGGCCATCCTCCATAAGTCTTCGCCTCACTGTGCGTGCAGATGCACTCACACCTGCCTGCTGCCATTCCTGAGCAAGCTTTGCACTGGTGGTTCCCCGATCCCGCAGCTGAATCAACTTTAGCAGACGGTCCTGGCGCTTGCTGGACTTTCTTGGGCGCCCTGACGCCTTCTTCACAACAATTGAACCTCTCTCCTTGAAGTTCTTGATGGTCCGATAAATGGTTGATTTAGGTACAATCTTACTAGCAGCAATATCCTTGCCTGTGAAGCCCTTTTTGTGCAAAGCAATGATGACGGCACGCGTCTCCTTGCAGGTAACCGTGGTTAACAGAGGAAGAACAATGATTTCAAGCACCACCCTCCTTTTAAAGCTTCCAGTCTGTTATTCTAACTCAATCAGCATGACAGAGTGATCTCCAGCCTTGTCCTTGTCAACACTCTCACCTGTGTTAACGAGAGAATCACTGACATGATGGCAGCTGGTCCTTTTGTGGCAGGGCTGAAATGCAGTGGAAATGTTTTTTGGGGATTAAGTTCATTTTCATGGCAAAGAGGGACTTTGCAATTCATTGCAATTCATCTGATCACTCTTCATTACATTCTGGAGTATATGCAAATTGCCATCATCAAAACTGAGGCAGCAGACTTTGTGAAAATTAGTATTTGTGTCATTCTCAAAACTTGTGACCATGACTGTATACAGTAGCACTACAGTATGTTGCTATAAAACTCAATTGTTCAATTGCATATTTATATTGACTCAGTTTGATGATATATTGCAGCTGTTGACAAAATCAAATACTGTATTGCACTGAGGCATTAGGGCTAACAATGCAGGGTGGTGCCCTAGGAGAATCCTAAATTTAAAAGACGTCCTCCAGTGATTTTTTAAAATGTTTACTGTTGAAAAGATATATCCCAAGTATAAATACAGTAAAGTACACACGCTAAAGAAAAAAATATGTTTTGAGCAAAATTGTGTTTTTTAGACACAACTGCAAACTTCGAGGAGTAGGGCATTTAAGGAGTTGGTCTGATGGGAATCCGTGATGTCATCGGCCTCCCCCCTTGCTTGAGCAATAGAGAACAATAGAGAACAAAAGAGGAAATGCCCACCCCCCCACTTGTGCTATGTCATGACATATCTTGACCACCTATTGAGTTGTGCCTTTAAAAAAAATGTAAATCAGGTGTTAACTGAGGTGAAAAGGAGACTGGAGTGCCACTTTAAGTCCTATATATTTTAGCTTTCATAATAAAGTATTTCTACTCAGTATGCTGTGTGTTATTGTAAGGTTCAATGTGCTTTGACGTGAACTGTGTACAGTTGTGTATAGTTGTTATGGACTAAATGATATCAAATGAATTGACAGCCAAACACTTGGACTTCCATACAGGACAGATTCATAAAACAACACTGAACATTCTCACATAACCAGAGACCATTTTTAGGTAGAATAACTATCCACAATGACTAACGGTAAATGAGTAATTTTACTGTAAAGTGCATAATAAAGCAAATAACAATATTTTCAATTAACAGCATTGCCTGACTTTAACAGCACCTACTGTCTAACAGGATGACCAAAGAAATGGTTTAACAGAGCAAAAATATGGAAAATGCCTTTTTGGTGTCATTATAGCAGCCATGCAACTCCAAACGTGGGTAGGGGTCAAAAGGTCAAAGTTGAAAGAGGTCACTTGATTGTCAACAAAATTGACCAATTGCTTTAAAATTGCTTTTTTCATAGGCGTATACTGTAATAGGTAATTTCATTACAATTGCTTGGGTCTTGGGTGTGTATTTTTATCCAGACTCATCGATATGGATGACATTAACATCTAAGGCCCTGATAACATAACCTTCTAAATTACCTAGTGCCATAGACATCTATGGTGGGTAACCCAGAGCCATAGGTTTCCATCCGTCTCTCCGTAGACATCAATGGCTCTGTGATATCATAGCATTGTAATTACCCAGTACCATAGATATCTATGACGTCGCCATAGAGACATGGCTCTGTGTGCTAACCTTAATCCATATTCCTTCTCTACTCACTGATCATCCCTCTCTCTCTCGCTCTCTCTCTCTCTCTCTCTCTCTCTCTCTCTCTCTCTCTCTCTCTCTCTCTCTCTCTCTCTCTCTCTCTCTCTCTCTCTCTCTCTCTCTCTCTCTCTCTCTCTCTCGCTCTCTCTTCTATCCTTGGCTTCAGGTTTCAGATGTGCTCAGGATGCGGCCGGCCACCCTGGGGAATGTGAGAGTGCATGGGGTTGGGAGCGAGGAGGAGGAGGGAGGCATCCCCCACCTATGTGGCTGGCCAGATGGGCCCTCCCAGGATCAGCAAGCCCAGGAGCAGCAGGGGTAGAGGGGATAGAAGCAAGCGCAGGCTGGGGGCCGAGCTGGGGCTGCACAGGTCGAAGAGGCTGCCCTGGAAGCGGATCTTCCTGGAGTCTTCTTTCAGGGTCTCCCAGATGGAGCCCACCTCCTCCTGACACCCGGACAGTGCCGTCAGGGCACACGTGTGGAATGCCTCCCAGTGGCTAGGGGTGAAAGAGCCATCAGTCAAATGTATTTTATGTATATCCATCGACACATACACTACCTCATTTATATTTGACATGAAAACATGCCATTGGTTACAATCTATTGGATTAAGAATGTTATTGGTTTGATTTATCTGACACTTTAATCGCCGCACATGCAAGGCTTCAAAGCTCTCCTGTAAACACACACGGCTGAAGGTGTATTTTTTGTTGTATTATTGTTTTGAATTGTTGTTTTTATACTACTGCCCAGCGATACTATAAATTATTGCGTTTTGCAAGATCAACCCTCCTTTATTTTGTAGCCACAGAAATTAGATTAGAAAAAATAGCTGATGCTGCAAGGAGACATTTTTCAGCTTTAGGCAGTAATATACTGTACTATAGTATTGGAATGCACACATTAACAATTACAAAAAAACAAGATGGCCTCAGAATTTCATTACTGCTGCAGCAAAGTCATAAATTATTCAGTACAGTGGCTGTGTTTCAGCACCATTCATTTCTGCTATCTCCCTCGGCTACAGCATATTTTTCTTCTCTCCACTGTTCTTCCGCAAGGTACACACCTCGATGGATTTCAATGCAAGATCTGATATAAGCAAGCAGAAGGAGACTGATTGGTAAAATACAGACGCTGTTCTATACGTTCTATCTGCCATGAGATCCTGGTGCGCTGCAAACGCAGATGTACAGTAAGTGCAGATGGATAGAGGATGCTGTACATTGCACACACACATACGCACGCACAGGGGCAGATTGGCCATCTGGCAATTCTGGCAAATGCCAGATGGGCTGGACCATTTTTTAATTCGAAATTGACACACACTTTTTTATATAAAAATAAAACCATTAAAAGGTTACATGGCCGGTAGCCCATGGGCCTGTTCTCTGTTATAGTAATCTATAGTGAGCCTTTGGCAGATCAGTGGGAAACAGCCAGCCTCCCTACCAAGATGGGCCAGCCCGGTTTTCTGATAGGCTGAACTGAGGTCAAACAAACTCACATTCAAAGTCAAACACGGCATCAGCAAAGAGACCTACTCCGACTCTGTCATCAGTTCGACAGACAAGATCATGTATCGTAAAAAATGGAAAGGGTGCCTACAAACATAGAAAGGGCACATTCTACATTGTCACCTCACTCAAACGTCCTATTTTTTGCACAGCTAAAATCATGATTTGGTAAAACAGTAAAGTGCATTATCCTCATGATTCCTGTAATGAAAGTGTCTTCCCTGCCCCTGTGTCTGTGTCCTCGCTGGGGCCTGCTGCTGTGATGAGCGAGCCACTCTCCTCGCCCGCCATGTGCTCGGGAGGAAAATGCGTTCTGATTATATAAAACATGTTATGCAATTGCGGGGAAAATACAGCTTTGGAAGCTTCGTCCCCTTGTCCCTGTCGATGAGATGAGGGTCTCAGCTTTCTGTCCCTATACTTTTTATTTCTCAACTCTCAATATTCAGCTCAATAGCAACTATTTTACAACCAATATATTTGATATGGCTTTATGATATGGAGCGGCGTGCGTGCAAAATGCGACCTGGCCATTGCGAGGGCATAGGCCTATAAAAAAATTATAATAATAAGTTCTCATAGCCTACAACTAGTAGCTATGAGACATGTAGCCTACATGTTTTTTTAGGACTTTACATTTATTGTTAGATAAATACACTCAGTGGCCAGTTTATTAGGTACACCCATCTAGTACCGGGTTGGAGCCCACTTTGCCTCCAGAACAGCCTGAATTCTTTGAGGCATGGATTCTACAAGGTGTGGCGTTCAAATGTTGCTCAATTGGTATCAAGGGACCTAACGTGTGCCAGGAAAACATTCCCCACACCATTACACCACCGCCACCAGCCTGTACCGTTGACACCAGGCAGGTGTCAAGCCACGGCCACGTGACTCACTGTCTGTAGGAGCGAACCATTTTCGTGTACAGGGTTGTGTACCTTATAAACTGGCCACTGAGTGTACATGACTACTAGCAGTGGGTATTATATTAAGTTAGCGATCTAGTTAATGTGTTTTGAGTTTCTACTTCCCTCGGCGTTGAACCCCAAATTAATTAGCCTATGATAGTGCACATATAGATGTATCTAATTCATCTCTTTTGAAAAAAAAGAGGAAATTCTGGAGTGCTATTCTGACAGTAGAATATAGCAACTAGCATATAGTCTAATTTTCAACCCAAAATTCATGACAATCACTGGATTAGGTTGCACATAAAAATATATTGAATCATGCATTCCTGCTTGGACGTGTTAGATACAAAAATGTATTTCTTGAATTCTTGAGTTGGCAGGGTGATGTGGGCTGATGGTGTGGATAAAATGCCAGGGCCGAATTGTCCCAGTCCCTGTCCCAGTCCGCCCCTGCACACACACACACCCCTCTCACCTACACACAGCTTCCACTCCCATCTCGCTGGTCACATTCTCCTGGTAGTTATCCATGCTCTCCCCCAGCTCCAGAACACAGTCAGAGAAGTCCCTGTAAATATTCTCACACTTCACATCTGCCGCTGAGACTCTTGCCACAGCCAGGGACACTGCAAAACACAGAAAAATACATTAAAATGCATTAAGGAAAGAAAGCCCATTACATTCCCCTTTGTTGTCATAGATTTTATGGTACATTTCAGGCATTGCACTTACAGAGACCAAATATAATTGTTTTATGTCATGATATAATAACAATAGGGTCTTGTATCACCTTTATCTAGATCTATATCTGCCTCCCTATTTGAAGCAAAGAGTCTCTTCTGAAACAAATGGGAGGATGCCAAAAGTAGGTCACCCTCCTTCTATGTTGTTCTTGGAGTTAAAATGGAGGAAACAGAGGTATATCAGCCCTCAGCATCCCTCCCAGGACTTTAGGATATCTGGCAGGATACATTTTTCTTCCAGTTATTCCAAATTGCCTCTCAATGTAGTTTTAATGATGAGGGTTGCATGAGAGATATTTGGCCTGCTTGGTCAGTGGGATTTAGATATAATCAGCATAGGCTACCTGTGAGAATGATTGTCATAATTCTCTCCCATCTCCCTCCTCTCTCCCACTCACTTATTGATTGCTTAGGGTCAGGGATAAGGTGTCCAAGGCCACTGTAATAGCCACTGTCAGATTATTTCAGCTTGAATGATCGCTTTAAAAGCATAGAAAACATTGAAATTAAGCAGGGAATGGGTAATATTGGGATTCTGAAGAAAGAGCAACTGCTCCTAGATTTTGTTGGTTTGCCTGGATCATTTTCAAGAAATCTATTCAATTCCCAAGTCCCACTGCACTGTAGGCTGTCTCACATTCAATCCATTGCCCTCTGCCAAAAAGCAACGCCTTGCTAGATGTAAAGTAGGCAGTGGTTATATTACCATTTGTTCAATATGAATATTGTTATAGTACACCAATATGATTTAGCTTGCACAGGATCATAAAGTTTAAAACCAGGAATTATTGTTTAATTGATCAGGATGGAAAATGTATGTACATAGAAATATGTGCAGACATAGCATAAATCCTTATGTTCTGAGTGAATGCATGGGATTCATTTATTAAACTAACAAGAATGCCAGATGTAGGGTAAGTGACACTACAATACTTTAAATTCATTTTTGCTATTTGCTTTCAATTATTTGTGCATTAATGCATGCTTTATACACCAACACAACTCTGCAAGTCTATTTCTGGCCAAAGATCTTTCAAGCACTCCTAAATCTATCCTACTGCACAGACCTGAGGGACAATGAGTTATTGATAAGCTCTTCAAATATGAAAAAAGCTCGTCACTGTCAAATAATACAACTCTAAATTTAGCCTACACCCTTAATTAATGAAATATTAAATATTTCATCCAAGATATTATAAAAACGTGCAATATGAAAAAGTATTGTTCTACCAATAAATCTAAAACGATACTTTATCCAGCCTTACCTAATACAATAAATGCACAACATCTTGGAATCTTCACCGACGTAAATCCCATATCCCATATCAAACCCAGCAGAGGGTGCCTTGCGCCATCTGTGGGATCCACCAAAATCGCTCATAAACTGAGATAAAATCAAAGCGAGGTAAAATGAATCAATCAAAATAAATGACTTGTTGCGGCATATATGCGTTAACAGGAGGCGATTAACATTTGCAGAATCAATTGCAGTTTATTCTCGATCAAACCCAATGTAACAACCGTGATATTACCTGCCCCTTTCGTGCGTGCTGCCTCTCGGAGCGCTTCTCTCACCTCATCGACGCTCCGCACCAGAGATACGTTTAGTGCCATCCCATGTTTCTCATTTGCTGACAGTAAACAGACAAATAGCCCATTGGTACATATGGACAGTTTCCTCAGTCGGTTCCCTGTTTATGACACTAGTCATCTTTTTCTGCTGAGAATAATATTGAGCAAAATCAAAATACCAAATAAAGTGCTTATTTCAGAGCATCATAAATTGAGGCATGAAGGAACATCACTTCAACTTTAAGAGAAGAAAAAGGCAAATATTTATAGAAAGTGAACACATTTTTTATCTAGATTTTGAACCTTTTATTTTTGTAGAAAAAAATTACAGCATTTCACCAATGTACTGCAGGTAAATTTATGGTAGCATATGGTCTGGGACACTGACAGCAAGTCATGTTTAAAATACATTTGCATCATTCACATTTAACAATGTAACTTGGTAGCGGATGGCCTTTTCTTTCTAAATTCTCTTCAATGAGCCTTTCACAGCAGCTTTATGATATTTCAAAGTATGACATGAACAAGGAAAACCTTCCCTTGGAGGAACTTGGAGGTCACCATCTCAATTCCTGACTGTGCAGACAAACTGAGGGAGTCGTAAGGCACAGAATGAAATAGAACAAAAACCTTAATATCGTAATACTTCAGGAATTAAAGCATTTAAATTCATTACAAAAAGTACGAAAATAAAAAACAAGATGTTGATTTAAATACGTGTAGCATTACCGCTTTCTTTGGCAGGTCTAAAACGCCACGTCTTCCCCATTTCATGGAGCTGGCATGGTGATTCAATTACTCAGTCTTTAGTCTCATATCAGTCACAAAATGTCCAGCTGGAGTGGTGTCTAAATGGGACACATTCATGACACCAGTGTCTTCAATCCAATAACATTTGGTGTAGGCCTATGTATTGGGGGCATATCGCACTAACTAGGTCCACCCAGAGGTAGAGGTTGATGTTGGTTGGTATGTTGGAGCTTGTGATGACATGGGCCTTGAACATGGGCCTGGTGGACATTGATATGAAGATGGCCACATCATAGAATGGTTTATTGATCTACTCCAGCCGCTCTCTTGGTGCGTTTCCTTGGGGAGGCTTTAGGAGATGCCGATGCCTTGCCTGTAAAAGAGAGAGAGACAAAGAGAGAAACAGAGAGCGAGAGAGGGGATGGTCAATGTTGCAATTTGAGTTGATATTCATCTTTGCACAGACAAGATGAAAAAATAGGATGCCTTTTCAACCCAACTACGGTTCCAAAAAAGTGGTTGTATAAGCAGAGTATGAATTTGTCTTCCTGCACTCAGGAGGAAATGCTATGGCAGAGTATCAAAGCTCATGACAAAACTTACTCATGATGTTGAGGGTCTCCTGGGGAATCCAGCTGATGTCCACATCGTTCATCCCACCGGTGCCCGTCTCCACCTTCACTGGGAGCCTCTTCCTCTGCACAAAATACAGTTGAAGTCGGAAGTTTACATACACTTAGGTAGGAGTCTTCAAACTCGTTTTTCAACCACTCCACAATTGTCTTGTTAACAAACTATAGTTTTGGCAAGTTGGTTAGGACATCTACTTTGTGCATGACACAAGTCATTTTTCCAACAATTGTTTACATACAGATTATTTCACTTATAATGCACTGTATCACAATTCCAGTGGGTCAGAGGTTTACATACACTAAGTTGACTGTGCCTTTAAATAGCTTGGAAAATTCCAGAAAATGATGTCATGGCTTTAGAAGCTTCTGATAGGCTAATTGAGTCAATTGGAGGTGTACCTGTGGATGTATTTCAAGGCCTACCTTCAAACTCAGTTCCTCTTTGCTTGACATCAAGGGAAAATCAAAAGAAATCAGCAAAGACCTCAGAAAAAAAATTGTAGACCTCCACAAGTCTGGTTCATCCTTGGGAGCAATTTCCAAACGCCTGAAGGTACCACATTCATCTGTACAAACAATAGTACGCAAGTATAAACACCACGGGACCACGCAGCCATCATACCGCTCAGGAAGGAGACGCGTTCTGTCTCCTAGAAATGAGCATACTTTGGTGCGAAAAGTGCAAATCAATCCCAGAACAACAGCAAAGGACCTTGTGAAGATGCTGGAGGAAACAGATACAAAAGTATCTACAGTGGGGGAAAAAAGTATTTAGTCAGCCACCAATTGTGCAAGTTCTCCCACTTAAAAAGATGAGAGAGGCCTGTAATTTTCATCATAGGTACACGTCAACTATGACAGACAAATTGAGAAAAGAAAATCCAGAAAATAACATTGTAGGATTTTTTATGAATTTATTAGCAAATTATGGTGGAAAATAAGTATTTGGTCACCTACAAACAAGCAAGATTTCTGGCTCTCACAGACCTGTAACTTCTTCTTTAAGAGGCTCCTCTGTCCTCCACTCGTTACCTGTATTAATGGCACCTGTTTGAACTTCTTATCAGTATAAAAAACACCTGTCCACAACCTCAAACAGTCACACTCCAAACTCCACTATGGCCAAGACCAAAGAGCTGTCAAAGGACACCAGAAACAAAATTGTAGACCTGCACCAGGCTGGGAAGACTGAATCTGCAATAGGTAAGCAGCTTGGTTTGAAGAAATCAACTGTGGGAGCAATTATTAGGAAATAGAAGACATACAAGACCACTGATAATCTCCCTCGATCTGGGGCTCCACGCAAGATCTCACCCCGTGGGGTCAAAATGATTACAAGAACGGTGAGCAAAAATCCCAGAACCACACGGGGGGACCTAGTGAATGACCTGCAGAGAGCTGGGACCAAAGTAACAAAGCCTACCATCAGTAACACACTACGCCGCCAGGGACTCAAATCCTGCAGTGCCAGACGTGTCCCCCTGCTTAAGCCAGTACATGTCCAGGCCCGTCTGAAGTTTGCTAGAGTGCATTTGGATGATCCAGAAGAGGATTGGGAGAATGTCATATGGTCAGATGAAACCAAAATATAACTTTTTGGTAAAAACTCAACTCGTCGTGTTTGGAGGACAAAGAATGCTGAGTTGCATCCAAAGAACACCATACCTACTGTGAAGCATGGGGGTGGAAACATCATGCTTTGGGGCTGTTTTTCTGCAAAGGGACCAGGACGACTGATCCGTGTAAATGAAAGAATGAATGGGGCCATGTATCGTGAGATTTTGAGTGAAAACCTCCTTCCATCAGCAAGGGCATTGAAGATGAAACGTGGCTGGGTCTTTCAGGATGACAATGATCCCAAACACACCGCCCGGGCAACGAAGGAGTGGCTTCGTAAGAAGCATTTCAAGGTCCTGGAGTGGCCTAGCCAGTCTCCAGATCTCAACCCCATAGAAATTCTTTGGAGGGAGTTGAATGTCCGTGTTGCCCAGCGACAGCCCCAAAACATCACCACTCTAGAGGAGATCTGCATGGAGGAATGGGCCAAAATACCAGCAACAGTGTGTGAAAACCTTGTGAAGTCTTTTGACCTGTGTCATTGCCAACAAAGGATATATAACAAAGTATTGAGAAACTTTTTTTATTGACCAAATACTTATTTTCCACCATAATTTTAAAATAAATTCATAAAAAATTCTACAATATGATTTTCTGGATTTTTTTTTCTCATTTTGTCTGTCATTGTTGACGTGTACCTATGATGAAAATTACAGGCCTCGCTCATCTTTTTAAGTGGGAGAACTTGCACAATTGGTGGCTGACTAAATACTTTTTTCCCCCACTGTATATCCACAGTAAAACGAGTCCTATATCGACATAACCTGAAAGGTCGCTCAGCAAGGAAGAAGCCACTGCTCCAAAACCACCATAAAAAAAGCCAGACTACGGTTTGCAACTGCACATGGGGACAAAGAGCGTACTTTCTGGAGAAATGTCCTCTGGTCTGATGAAACAAAAATATAACTGTTTGGCCATAATGACCATCTTTATGTTTGGAGGAAAAAGGGGGTAGCTTGCAAGCCCAAGAACACCATCCCAACCGTGAAGCACAGGGGTGGCAGCATCATGCTATGGGTGTGCTTTGCTGCAGGAGGGACTGGTGCACTTCACAAAATAGATGGCATCATGAGGAAGGAAAATGATGTGGATATATTGAAGCAACATCTCAAGACATCAGTCAGGAAGTTAAAGCTTGGTCGCAAATGAGTCTTCCAAATGGACAATGACCCCAAGCATACTTCCAAAGTTGTGGCAAAATGGCTTAAGGACAACAAAGTCAAGGTATTGGAGTGGCCATCACAAAGCCCTGACCTCAAGCCTATAGAAAATTTGTGGGCAGAACTGAAAAAGTGTGTGCGAGCAAGGAGGCCTACAAACCTGACTCAGTTACACCAGCTCTGTCAGGAGGAATGGGCCAAAATTCACCCAACTTATTGTGGGAAGCTTGCGGAAGGCTACCCGAAACGTTTGACCCAAGTTAAACAATTTAAAGGCAATGTTACCAAATACTAATTGAGTGTATGTAAACTTCTGACCCACTGGGAATGTGACGAAAGAAATAAAAGCTGAATTAAATCCTTCTCTCTGCTATTATTCTGACATTTCACATTCCTAAAATAAAGTGGTGATCCTAACTGACCTAAGACATGGCATTTTTACTAGGATTAAATGTCAGGAATTGTGAAAAACTGAGTTTAAATGTATATGGCTAAGGTGTATGTAAACTTCAGACTTCAACTGTAGATCAAAGGTCAACACTTAATTTACCCTGGTGCTCATTTTGAATGTAACATTCACCACCACATGTAAAGAGCTGGAGATATTTTAGACTATCACAATTTAGATGAAAAGGTTGAGAAGACTCGTACCGTCCTAGACTCCAGCACCTGGTACATGCCAAAGACTGCCAAGACAACTAATCCAGTCAGAAAGATGTACATGAACATTCTGGAGGAGAAACAAAGCAAAATGTGTCATACTAACAGTTAATGGATAATGTAATATAATAATAGTATAGACAAACAATATAAAAATGAGTTACCATATTTAAACAAATGCACCTGAAACATAAATTAATTTAACCAAATACTAGTATAACATGTAGAATTGATTGATGTGTGCAAAGAAATGGTTACGTCTCTCCATCCAGTCCCTCCTCCAGCTCAACGATCGTGACGGTCTGGTTGTAAATGGCCGTCTGGAAACCGTTGCCCTGCGTAACAGTCAAAACACAAGATCAGCGCCTCAGCCACAGGCCATACATTGCAAGGCATTTCTGAACCTGTTCAGGGGGATTTCTGAACATCTAGTCAAGAACCCTGGGCTGGGCATCTTGAAGATGCAAGACACTCTAATAATAATAATGTATCAGTCAATCAACCAATCAATCTAGTCTCACCTCACTGTCCTGGTAGTTGAGTAGGATGACCAGGCCGAAAGGACGACCAGCCATGGGCTGAGCAGGGATGAAGGAGTACTCAAAGGAGGCCTGCTTCTGGGGCTGGACCACAGTGCTCAGGAGCAAGGCTGTGAACTAGGTACCAAAAACAGCTTGTCTACTTTTCTGATCAACAATGGCAGAAAGTCCCCAAAACCACATTTTACAGGGTATTCCATGTACATTCCATGTATACAAAACATTAAGAAGACCTGCTCTTTCCATGACATAGACCAGGGTTCTTCAATTCCGGTCCTGGAGGGCCGAAACACCTCTGTTTTTCATCCTCTCCTTCTAATCAGGGGCTAATTCAGACCTGGGACACCAGGTGAGTGCAATTAACTACCAGGTAGAAATAAAAAACAGAAGTGTTTCGGCCCTCCAGGACCGGAATTGAAGAACCCTGACATAGACTGACCAGGTGAATCCAGGTGATGTCACTTGTTAAATCCACTTCAATCAATGTAGATTAAGGGGAGGAGACAGGTTAAAGAAGGATTTTTAAGTATTGAGACAATTGAGACATGGATTGTGTATGTGTGCCATTCAGAGGGTGAATGGGCAAGACAAAATATTTAAGCGCTTTTGAATGGGGTATGGTAGTATGTGCGAGGCGCACCGGTTTGTGTCAAGAACTGCAACGCTGCTGTGTTTTTCACGCTCAACAGTTTCTCGTGTGTATCAATAATGGTCCACCACCCAAAGGACATCCAGCCAACTTGACAACTGTGGGAAGCATTGGAGTCAACATGGGCCAGCATCCCTGTGGACACTTTCGACACATTGTAATAATAATAATAATAATAATATGCCATTTAGCAGACGCTTTTATCCAAAGCGACTTACAGTCATGCGTGCATACATTTTTTCAACTCAATATTAGGAAGGTGTTTCTAATGTTTGGTATACTCAGTGTATATTTGGTATATTTGTATATTTTGTAACTAATTGTCATCTATACTCCCGAGTGGCACAGTGGTCTAAGGCACTGCATCGCAGTGCTAGCTGTGCCACTAGAGATCCTGGTTCGAATCCAGGCTCTGTTGTAGCTGGCCGTGACAGGGAGACCCATGGGGAAGCGCACAATTTGTCCAGGGTAGGGGAGGGAATGGCCGGCAGGAATGTAGCTCAGTTGGTAGAGCTTGGTGTTTGCAACGCCAGGGTTGTGGGTTCGATTCCCACGGGGGGCCAGTATGAAAAATAAAATAATGTATGCACTCACTAACTGTAAGTCGCTCTGGATAAGAGCGTCTGCTAAATGACGTAAATGTATACAGCTTGCCAGCTTGTAGTCCTAAAAACCGAAAATGAATGGGGAAAGAATATGGTTTTGGGGTAAACGCCGAAAATAATGTCTGAGGTTAACTCAGGCTTAGGAGATCTTATACATTTTGTTCTATGAGGTAATATCAGTCAGTTAACCCTCTGGAGTCTAAGCCCTGTCTAAGTCGGGAGGGAGGGGGGGGGTCTAAGCAAACATATGGAATTGTTTTAAGATGGTCATTCCAAGGATCATTTAGCTATTTGATTTTGAATTTTAAGACCACATTTTTGCTATTAGCCGATAGAAACACATTGAATAACAGATTCACTACATGGAACAACAGATAGTAAAAAACTAACATCTAAAGGAAGTTTGTTCTGAAGTGTCTGTCCTATATCTGAGAGATATAAGAAAGATCAGGAAACAATTTATGTACAGTATTTATCCCCTTATTTTAGGCACTAAACTATCTCAATATATACTGTACTTCCATTAATTTTTTTAACTGGTACCAGGGACCTTCTTGTGAGGCTTGTGGGCGTCCTAGAGCAAAACGGAGAACGCCATCATGTTCGCGAGAGTCTCATCACCATAAAAGGGTCATAATATGTTCTAGGCCAAACAGTTTGGACCCTACAGGTGTTTTTGTGAGAAGACCGATTTTCGGGATGTCTCATGGTCTGACAAACATCGCTCTAGCTCTGCCACACTTCACCGCAGATTCGGAAGGGCGATATCGGCAGATGCAGAGGATTGAGATGCAGCCCATGCAAAAAAATATATCTCTAGCTTAAACAGATGTATTTTGATGGTGGGGCATGGAAATTGTAGGGTTAACATGACCTTTATGAATTATGAAGCCCTTTATGTGCTTTGTGATTTTTTTGATTACATAAATGCTTAAAAATTCACAAAAAGCAATGTTAGCTGATGAAGATGATTTCATAGAACAAAACATATAAGATCTCCTAAGCCTGTGTTTACAACAGACCTTATTTTCGGCGTTTAGCCAAAAACCCAACAAAAACTCTATTCATTTTCCCATAGGCTTTGTCCAACGAACCACGGCGGAGTTAGTACCAACAAAAAGACGACATTACTATTGCTCTCTCTTATGGGTAACACATACGTTATTGGGTTTGTAAAGGCTTTATAAGAAGTTTCTATTCTAGTAATTGTTAGTTAATAAATTGGAAGTAAACAGACTACAAACCCCATTATAACGTTTTACATAATGATGTGTGTTTTCAAGGGGACTTTCTATTTCTCAGATGAGGCATGCAGGCATCATGTGTCCCAGAACCCAGACTCACGTTCTGGATGTAGAACTGAAAGTCCTGAGGGTAACGGAAGGAGGCCTCCAGGGAATGTACAGTGAAATCCTGGCTTCCCTTGTTGGTGAAACCCACCAGGAACTTTGCAATCTCATTGGCTGGGAACTCTGGATGGAGGGCACAATGATATACAAATTAAACCATTGATGTGAATGAATAATTACATTCCATGCTGTCTTGCATATTTCCCTTTAACTTACACTGAATGACTGAGTGTAAAACGATATGAAAGTCTTCATAAAGGAAGAGAAGACCAACCTTCCCCGGTCACAAAGACGATGGTGGTGTCAGCATCAGGGTGAGAGGTTACATCTCCAACTGCAGCATCTTCATCTAAGTCATCTTCTGTTTCCTGAGAGATTTAAAAATACAATGGAAAGAAACTAGATTAAAATGCACTGAATTGAGCAAATAGTACTATGGTTCATTTGGCAGGGACAATAGAAGCCACTTTCATCCCAGTTCAAACAATGTCACATACCGAGCCTGGGACCTGATCTTCCTCCACCAGCACCTCATCCTCCTCGTCCTCTTCCTCCTCCTCATCGACTGTTGAATGTGGGGCGATGTCTTCCGCAGACTCTTCTGCAGATACCTGGCCTGTCCCAACGCAGAGAAGAAGCCATTAGCAATGAATCCATTTTAACACATATAAATTGTTATAATAGTAGCCTCTGTCTGAGAACAAAGCCGCTTAACCTGTGCGTCTGAGGCTACTATAATAGTTGATGATAGTTGTGATGAGAAACTCTGGTTGCACTTGTACCAAAAACAAACATAGGATACATTGGATCAAATACATGTAAAATATTGACAGCATTAAATTGATACAAATGGTCATGAGAAGAGCTTTATTCGTTCATTGTGTAATACTATGATGGTTTATTATAATACTCTGCTCACAATGAACGTGTAGGCTAAAGGATAAAACTGGGTCATGTTATGATTAATGATGGGTAATTATTCGAAAATGCTGTATAAAACTTTAAATAGCAAATTGTAAAGTCGGTCATCAGTTAGCTGTAGGCCTATTGTATGAATTGGAACACTATGTAACAGGCAAAGATACAATGTAACAGTCAGAGGCCTCAGCACGGGTGTTAGAATGTATCAACACAGTACTAACGGAAAGGCGATCCTGGGACACGTCACCATAGAAGAGAGGGAAACCCAGTGTAGAGCAACAATATTGCCGATCAGACACATTTCGTCTTGGACATTTATGTATCTTCCAGATAAGGTTTTCTTATTGTCTTAAACCACAAAACTACAACTTTATAAATTATGCATTTGCACAAGCATGAGAGGTATCAACAAGCCTATATCGAGAGAGCTTCCCAAAGTTTTATGTTCCTCCTATAAGTTGTGTTACATGCATTTGTTCACTTAATTTATCAGACAAAGATATTGAGCATGAAGCTTTCTGACAAAGCAGTCTTTATTTTGTTTTAGATCACTGAATGAAAAACTGCATTATGCCACGTCAATGTTAACTTCGCTAACGTTTCATTATTGCAAAGAACTCTGGACTGCTGGAGTGAAGAATGTAAATTCAAAAGGGTAAATGACTTACCGAAGGATATCTGGCCACATCTGAAAGCCACGAGGAAAAGTAAAAGTATTTTTGATCCGAAATGGAACATTTTGCTGCGGTCAAGTTCGTAGCTTGCTACACCTCAGCAGTCAGAAAAAGGAGAAAGGTTAGCGAAGGGGTGGGATAAGATAGTTTTTAAGACGCCCCATACTATGCACGTTTGGTGATGTCACAATTGGGGAAATTGATTGAATCAACCTTCATATTGTCCTAGGCCAGCCGCAAGGCCACACATTTTTGAGAAACCCTTACACTTCCCATTTATGAAATGGTGTTTGTGTAAACATATTTTACTGCAAAAGTGGTTAGATTGAAAGATATTGTGACACACCCCCTAAACCAGGGTTCCGCCAGTTGGTTTGAGTTGGCCCCCCAATTCTTCTGAGCAAAAAATAAATATATTTTCATTGTTGGATATAAAATACTGTAAAAACACCAGGAAATCAGCTGCAAGTCATTTTAAATTAAGACATCTGTTCCCAAGTATTCCCACGCACAATAGAGAGACACGCGATCGTATACAAATGTAAGCAAGGTTTGACATTTTATTTATTTTATTTATTTTATTTATTTTATTTAACCTTTATTTAACCAGGTAAGCCAGTTGAGAACAAATTCTCATTTTCAACTGCGACCTGGCCAAGATAAAGCAAAGCAGTGCGGAAAAAACAACAACAACACAGAGTTACATATGGAATAAACAAAACATACAGTCAATAACACAATAGAAAATCTATATACAGTGTGTGCAAATGTAGTAAGTTATGGAGGTAAGGCAATAAATAGGCCATAGTGCAAAATAATTACAATTATAATTTAGTATTAACACTGGAGTGATAGATGTGCAGAAGATGATGTGCAAATAGAGATACTGGGGTGCAAATGAGCAAAATAAATAACAATGTAAATAACAACATGGGGATGTGGTAGTTGGGTGGGCTAATTACAGATGGGCTGTGTACAGGTGCAGTGATCGGTAAGCTGCTCTGACAACTGATGCTTAAAGATAGTGAGGGAGATAAGTGTCTCCAGCTTCAGAGATTTTTGCAGTTCGTTCCAGTCATTTGCAGCAGAGAACTGGAAGGAATGGCGACCAAAGGAGGTGTTTGCTTTGGGGATGACCAGTGAGATATACCTGCTGGAACGCATACTACGGGTGGGTGTTGCTATGGTGACCAATGAGCTAAGATAAGGCAGGGATTTGCTTGGAAGGGATTTATAGCTGACCTGGAGCCAGTGGGTTTGGCGACGAATATGTAGTGAGGGCCAGCCAACGAGAGCGTACAGGTCACAATGGTGGGTAGTATATGGGGCTTTGGTAAAAAAACGGATGGCACTGTGATAGACTACATCCAATTTGCTGAGTAGAGTGTTGGAAGCTATTTTGGAAATGACATCGCCGAAGTCAAGGATCGGTAGGATAGTCAGTTTTACGAGGGCATGTTTAGCAGAATGAGTGAAGGAGGCTTTGTTGCGAAATAGGAAGCCGTTTCTAGATTTAACTTTGGATTGGAGATGCTTAATGTGAGTCTGGAAGGAGAGTTTACAGTCTAACCAGACACCTAGGTATTTGTAGTTGTCCACAAATTCTAAGTCAGAGCCGCCGAGAGTAGTGATTCTAGTCGGGCAGGCGGGTGCAAGCAGCCACACCCGTCGCTATGGGCGGGCCATAGGGGGCCGGGCCCGCCCCCAAAAATGCTTGTGCCCCCCCCCCCACTTGAGGGAATTTATTATTAAATATACATACTGTAGGCTAATAATAATTGTGCCCTGCCCTCCCATGCATTTCATATGCCCCCCTTAAGACTGAGGGCTGGCGACGGGTCTGCAAGCAGCGTTTGATTGAAGAGCATGCATTTAGTTTTACTAGCGTTTAAGAGCAGTTGGAGGCCACGGAAGGAGTGTTGTATGGCATTGAAGCTCGTTTGGAGGTTTGTTAACACTGTGTCCAATGAAGGGCCAGATGTATACAAAATGGTGTCGTCTGCGTAGAGGTGGATCTGAGAGTCACCAGCAGCAAGAGCGACATCATTGATATACACAGAGAATAGAGTCGGCCCGAGAATTGAACCCTGTGGCACCCCCATAGAGATTGCCAGAGGTCCAGACAACAGGCCCTCCAATTTGACACATTGAACTCTATCTGAGAAATAGTTGGTGAACCAGGCGAGGCAGTCATTTGAGAAACCAAGGCTATTTAGTCTGCTAATAAGAATGTGGTGATTGACAGAGTTAAAAGCCTTGGCCAGGTCAATGAAGACGGCTGCACAGTACTGTCTTTTATCGATTGCGGTTATTATATCGTTTAGGACCTTGAGCATGGCTGAGGTACACCCATGACCAGCTCGGAAACCAGATTGCATAGCGGAGAAGGTACAGTGGGATTCTAAATGGTCGGTGATCTGTTTGTTAACTTGGCTTTCAAATACTTTCGAAAGGCAGGGCAGGATGGATATAGATCTGTAACAGTTTGGAACTAGAGTGTCACCCCCTTTGAAGAGGGGGATGACCGCGGCAGCTTTCCAATCTCTGGGGATCTCAGACGATACGAAAGAGAGGTTGAACAGGCTGGTGATAGGGGTTGCGACAATTTTGGCGGCTAATTTTAGAAAGAAAGGGTCCAGATTGTCTAGCCCAGCTGATTTGTAGGGGTCCAGATTTTGCAGCTCTTTCAGAACATCAGCTATCTGAATTTGGGTGAAGGAGAAACGGGGGGGGCATGGGCAAGTTGTAGCGGAGGGTGCAGAGCTGGTGGCCAGGGTAGGGGTAGCCAGGTGGAAAGCATGGCCAGCCGTAGCAAAATGCTTGTTGAAATGTTCAATTATCATAGATTTATCGGTAGTGACAGTGTTTCCTAGCCTCAGTGCAGTGGGCAGCTGGGAGGAGGTGCTCTTATTCTCCATGGACTTTACAGTGTCCCAAAACATTTTGGAGTTAGTGCTACAGGATGCACATTTCTGTTTGAAAAAGTTAGCCTTTGCTTTCCTAACTGATTGTGTATATTGGTTCCTGACTTCCCTGAAAGGTTGCATATCGCGGGGGCTGTTCGATGCTAATGCCGTACGCCACAGGATGTTTTTGTGCTGGTCAAGGGCAGTCAAGTCTGGGGTGAACCAGGGGCTATATCTGTTCTTAGTTCTGAATTTTTTGAATGGGGCATGCTTATTTAAGATGGAGAGGAAAGCACTTTTAAAGAACAACCAGGCATCCTCTACTGACAGAATGAGGTCAATATCCATCCAGGATACTCGGGCCAGGTCAATTAGAAAGGCCTGCTCGCTGAAGTGTTTTAGGGAGCATTTGACAGTGATGAGGGGTGGTCGTTTGACCGCGGACCCATTACGGATGCAGACAATGAGGCAGTGATCGCTGAGATCCTGGTTGAAGACAGCGGAGGTGTATTTAGAGGGTCAATTAGTCAGGATGATATCTATGAGGGTGCCCATGTTAACGGATTTAGGGTTGTACCTGGTAGGTTCCTTGATAATTTGTTTGAGATTGAGGGCATCTAGTTTAGATTGTAGGACGGCCGGGGTGTTAAGCATATCCCAGTTTAGGTCACCAAGCAATACAAACTCTGAGGATAGATGGGGGGCAATCAATTCACATATAGTGTTCAGGGCACAGCTTGTCACGGTTCAGACAGACGACCAGAGGACCACAATTGCGTCACACCAGAAAGTTATTTAAAACTTAAGGGAAAAGGGAAGAAGGGAGTGAGTGAAGGCTCCAGGGGTAACAGGGATCCCGTCCAATGTGCTGGGTCTGTGCCCCCCCCCAGTGGCAGCGATGCGTCCTATGAAGCCGGTGGTGGGTGGTCCAGAAGTCCTGGGGGGGGGGGAGACACAGACACAACAGGGCGGATGAAACAAGGCAGCAGTACAGTTCAAGGGAAATCCAAATACGTAGTAGCAAGGCAGAAGGCTGGTCAGAGTTACCGGGATCGAAGAGTAGTCAGGAGTCGTTATGGCAAAAAGCAGGTCTGGATCTCCTGGGGCAGAAGAGTATCCAAACATCAGGCAGGTCCGGGAACACAAAACCAGGGTGAGCCAGAAGCGCGAGCAAACAGGTTCCGGGTGTGAGCTTTGCAGACGATCTGACAAAGGAGAGCTGAAAGACAGGGCTTTAAATACTGGGAGAGGTAGTGGGTAATGCAGCGCAGCTGGCAGAGTAATTAGAGCAGAGCAGAGCAGGGACAGGTGGAGCTAGTTAGGCTGAGTAGAGAGAGTGGTGAGCAGAGTGGAAGAAAATTAAGGTGGTAACCCGGTGGAGTGAGAGGCTCATGACAGAACCCCCCCCCCAAGGGACGGCCCCAGAAGTCCCAAGAGCAACACCACGCCGGGCGGGAGGAGGGGAGCCGGAGGAGGGCTAGAACTCCTCCGAACAGTCCGAGTGAACGTCCTCATCCTCGGAGGAAGCCGGAGGGCCGTGGTCGGGAGATGGGACAGGTCCCGAGACAGGATCAGGCACAGGACAGGAAGCCGAGCGGGCAGGACGGTTAGGGACCCCTCTGGGGCGGCCCCTACGGATTGCAGGTTGATCAGGATGCCGTTGGTGGAAGGCGGTGATGAGAGTCCTATCCACAATCCGACTAGCTGGCACCCAGGTCCTTTCCTCAGGTCCATAGCCCTCCCAGTCAATGAGGTACTGGAGACCCCTACCCCTCCGTCTGGACCGAAGCAGGCGGCGGACGGTGTAAACCAGACCACCATCGACGAGCCGTGGAGGAGGAGGACAAGGCGCAGCAGGGACCAGCGGACTCTCATGAATGGGCTTAATCTTAGACACATGGAAAGTGGGGTGCACCCTCAGGGAATTAGGCAGTTGGAGCCGGACAGCAGTTGGGCTAATCACTCTTATGATAGGGAATGGGCCAATGAACCGAGGTGCCAGCTTCTGCGACTCCACCCTGAGTGGCAGGTTCTTTGATGACAACCACACCCTTTGACCAACATGGTAGGTGGGAGCAGGAATTCTCCGACGGTTGGCCCCGGTAGTGTAGCTGGCAACGGATCTGAGGAGTGTGGCTCGGGCTTGTGACCAGGTGCG